GGGGGGCTAACCAGGATTGGAAGTCGATCGACCGTCGGCGTTTGCTCGAAAACGTGATTTTCTAACTCAAATAGAGGCATCGAGGTCAATGCAATTTTAATTTCTAGCTGGGGCACTTAAAGAACCCAACAAGTTCCCTGCGGCTCATTTTTGGTCCCTATGATTTAACATGGGAGCGTGACCTCATAGTGGTCACGCCGCAGGGAACGTGTTAAGGGGAAAATATTTCCACCGTAACCTGCGGTGTGGATCTAATACGACTATTGATTCTCCAATAAAAAATAATTCATTGGATTCGATGAAATTACTTTTTTGGTTGCCTAAATTTCATACGTATCGGGTCTAGTGATTACTGGGTGCCCTTTATGGACCTATTAAACTTAAATATACAATTCGACGTTATCAACTTACACCGAGACTTACTTGCTGAAGCCGTGGGCGGCCGCGAGCCCGCTGCCCGCCTTTGCAGCCTATTGACCGTGCGCCCTTTGCAGTGTGATGTGCTGCGCGTACGCCGCCGCCTCCTGGTCGCGGCTGGCCCTGCTGCTGGGGCTGGCCGCGGCGGTGCTGCAGGCGCTGTCTCTCTTCACGGGCAGCTGGATCCTCACCAAGGAGATGCTCGCCCCCGCCGAGTCCGCCGACGACACCCAGCAGCAGACCGTGCGGTACGGCACCGTGGTCGTGCACGCCCGCGTTGGCCTGCTGCGCGCGTGCGTGCGCGTGGAGAAGTTCAACGGCTCCTCGTACCCGTGTAAGTAGAAGTCGCAACGCACTTGCACACAAAACTTCCTCTTCCTCTGTCGCCGATGGAGGTTGATGACTGTCGTTTGTTCTTGGCAGATCCTTCGCCACAGCCGTCCTGCTTCTCCCTGTCGACGAACATCTGGCAGGAGGTGACCTCGGCTGACCTGGGCATCCTCCACGGCTCGATCCAGAGCACGGCGCAGGTCGTCACGAACATGCGCCAGTGAGTGTCGCCAGTGTTGCCTGTACTCGTGCTCTGCTCGGTGCACTCACGCGCCCATTGTTGTTGTGCTCCAGGTACACGCTGGTGCTCGGCTCGGTGGCGCTGGCCCTCATGCTGCTCGGCGAGCTGGGCGCCCTGGTCTCGCACCTCAAGCCGAGCATCAGGCTCGGGGTCGTCCTCGCCTGTTATCTCTACCTCTTCGCTGGTGAGGAGACTCCTACAGTACCGGATGTTCACTATTCCTAAACAAAAAATGCGGACCGATTGTCTCACACTGTTCGTGCTCGGCAGGGCTGATCGTGTGCCTCGTGGTGGTGACCTTCTCCATGATGACGGAGGTGCCCCGGCGCGAGCTGGCCCCCAGCGTGCGCCTGCCCGTGCACAAGCTGCTGGAGGCCGGCGCGCCCTTCACCTGGGAGCTGGGCACCTCCTACTACCTGGCCGTGGCCGCCTTCGCGCTCACGCACCTCATCGCCGCCGTGCTCGTGTCGGCCTTCATGCGGCGCTTCTCCTCCCTGGAGGCCATGGTGCGGGAGGTGGTGCCCGGGGCGGACCGCAAGCTGCGCGAGCACCAGGAGAACAACCTCGTTGGGCTGTGGGAGATCTACCCGAGTGAGTAAAGGACAGCAGCACTTACAAGGGAACCCCGCCAAGTGTAAATTCCCGATTTTCATTCTACTTTGGGAAATTGTTGGTCTAAATATGTCATCGAAGGGCACATCAAAGATTTTTGCTTAAATTCATATTTAGGGGTCATTTTGGGTATTTGTTCAAAAAGCTGCTATTTCAAATATTTTTTATAACTTTCAAGAATGCTTCCTAAGGGGTACCTCGTCAAATTGCGG